GTGCTCTGATTGGCCTCCCCGCCGCCCGCCGCCGCCGCGCTCTGATTGGGCAGGAGCAGCGCCTGCAGGCTCCTCCTCAGGTTGGGGTGGAGTCTGCGCTGTGATTGGCTGAAGTACTCGGCGGCGTTGCTCCTCATGACGCCGGACGCCATGTCCTCGTACAGCGGCACCGTGTACATCCTGGACGTCTGCACAGAGGCATCGTGGGAAACGGAGTCACACACAGAAACACAAGAAACAACACACACACACACAGAAACAACACCCACACACACACACACACAGAAACAAACACACACACACAGAAACAACACACACACACAGAAACAAACACACACACACACACACACACACAGAAACAACACCCACACACACACACACAGAAACACACACACACACACACACACAACACACACACACACACACACAGAAACAACACCCACACACACACACACACACAGAAACAAACACACACACACACACAGAAACAACACACACACACAGAAACACACACACACACACACACACACACACACACACACACACAGAAACAAACACACACACACACACAGAAACAACACCCACACACACACACACAGAAACAAAACACACACAGAAACAACACACACACACACAGAAACACACACACACACACAGACACACACACACAACACACACACACACACACACAGAAACAACACACACACACAGAAACAACACACACACGACAACAAACACACACACACACAGAAACAACACAGAAACAAACACACACACACACACACACACAGAAAACAAACACACACACACACACACACACAGAAACAACACCCACACACACACACACAGAAACAAACACACACAGAAACAACACCCACACACACACACACAGAAACAAACACACACAGAAACAACACATACACACACACACAGAAACACAAGAAACAACACCCACACACACACACACACAGAAACAACACACCACACACAGAAACAACACACACAGAAACAACACACACACACACAGAAACAAACACACACACACACAGAAACAACACACACACACACAGAAACAACACCCACACACACACACACACACAGAAACAAACACACACACACAGAAACACAACAGAAGACCTCACACTGAAGAACCAACACTTATGGAACCAACAACGACACAGACGCCGCCATCTTGGTCCAGGAGAAACGCCCAACCAGACCCAAACCAGACCAGACCCGAGTCCTGCACCAGGTCGGGTCCCTGCAAATAGTCGCTGAAATGGTCGGGTTTTAACTTTCTGGAATTTTACAGGTGGGTCTGCGAGCGGGTCAGGACTAGGGCCCGACCAATATATCGGTTGGCTGATATTATTGGCCGATACGTGCACCTGGAAACATATCGGTGATCGGTTTAAATCTTGCCGATATTTCCTGTGGTCATGTTCTACGTGGTTCTAAATCTTCGACTCTACATTCTGTTGATTTAATCCAGTTTACAGATAAATGTCCTCATATGTGACTCTGCATCAGAGTGTGTGTGTGTGTCTGTACTGTCCCTGAACACACCGCAGAGTCACGTCACACACGTGTGTTTGTTTACACCTGCAGACACAGATCCAAACACTGAGATTATTTTCCTTTTATGGACAATCGGTTTGAGTCTGGATTAAAAGGACATTTATTAGTGCAGACTTGTGATGTGAGAGGAGCCTGTGTGTGTGTGTGTGTGTTATTAGTACAGACTTGTGATGTGGGAGGAGCCTGTGTGACTCTGAGTGTTGAAATGTGTCGACTTTAAAGCTGGTTTTGTTTTTTTCTCATTGTTTATTGATGATCTGACATAAACAGTCTGTTTTCTATTGTTCTGTTGTAAAGTGAATATATGTGTCTGTACATGTGTGACTGGAGTTGTGTTGATGTAAATGAGCTGTGAACAGAAGTGTGAATGATCAACATTTACACATATGATTCATTACCGTGGGGCGCAGCATTTACGGCTAAAGGTTGATAGCGCTAGTTTAATTTCTTTACTAGCTGCTAGAATGTGATGATGTACAAATGACATTAGTCCGACCAACTGTCTGTAAATGTGATGTAAAGAGGCACAAGAACAAGAAATATTGTCTAAATAAACCCAATTTAAAATCCAACAGAGACAAACCTAATTTTTTTTAAACAATTCAAGATTTACAGTGTATTTTTACATCACTAAATATATCGATGATTATATCGACCGCAACAAAATCCATAGTCAGGTCTAAACCAGGACTAAACCAGGACTAAATCAGAACTAAATCAGGACTAAACCAGGACTAATCTTGGACTTGAGAGAGAGAACCCAGAGACCGTGGAGCAGGTGTCCGCAAAGTGCAATCGGGTTCTGTGAGGCGCAGAGCTCTGCACTGGAGCTCTGACGGCCCACCCCGACACTAAGTAATGGCTGAGTCCTGGTTCAGTCCTGGTTTCAGTCCTGGTTTGGTCCTGGTTCAGTCCTGGTTCAGTCCTGGTTTAGTCCTGGTTTAGTTTTGGTTTCAGTCCTGGTTTAGTCCTGGTTCAGTCCAGTACCAAGATGGCGGTGGGATTAACAGGTTGTGCAGGTGAGATCTAGTGTTGTGTATCCATGGAAACACACACACACACAGACAGACACACACAGACAGACACACACACACACACACACACACACACACACAGACAGACACACACACACAGACAGACACACACAGACACACACACAGAAACAGAGCTGGTTCTGTCAGAGGTTATTACGCCGGATGCCCTTCCCGTGCCGAGCATGAGTGTCGTTGTGTGAAGTGTCTTGCTCGAGGGCACGGGAGCGGGGCCGGACTCACGTGTTTGTGGAGGAAGTCTCGGACTCGGGGCAGCTCGGGGTAGAACAGGCTCCGGACGACCAGCTGCAGCCACCGGATCTGCACCTCGGCGTTCAGCGCGGCGAAGAGGGCGGAGTAACACGACGAGAGGCGGGACATCAGCTCTGAGCGACCAATCACACGAGAGCAACGGGTCAGATGGGGAGAGCACCTGACACACACACAGGGAGGGCACCTGACACACACACACGGGGACAGCACCTGACACACACACACACGGGGACAGCACCTGACACACACACACGGGGACAGCACCTGACACACACACACGGGGACAGCACCTGACACACACACACAGCACCTGACACACACACACGGGGACAGCACCTGACACACACACACGGGGACAGCACCTGACACACACACACGGGGACAGCACCTGACACACACACACGGGGACAGCACCTGACACACACACACGGGGAGGGCACCTGACACACACACACGGGGAGGGCACCTGACACATACACACGGGGAGGGCACCTGACACACACACGGGGACAGCACCTGACACACACACGGGGAGAACACCTGACACACAAACGAGGAGGGCACCTGACACATGGGGGGAGGATGAGGGGGGCGAGTGTGTGTGTATGTGTGTGTGTGTATATGTGTGTGTGTGTATGTGTGTGTATATGTGTGTGTGTGTATATGTGTGTGTGTGTGTGTGTATATGTGTGTGTGTGTGTGTGCATGTGTGTATATATGTGTGAGTGTGTATATGTGTATATGTATATGTGTGTGTGTGTGTGTGTACCGTGTGTGTATATGTGTGTATAGTGTGTGTGTGTACCGTGTGTGTGTACCGTGTGTGTGTACCGTGTGTGTATATGTGTGTATAGTGTGTGTGTGTGTGTACCGTGTGTGTGTGTGTATAGTGTGTGTGTATGTGTGTGTATATGTGTGTGTACCGTGTGTGTATGTGTGCATAGTGTGTATAGTGTGTGTGTTTGTATAGTGTGTGTGTGTGTATAGTGTGTGTGTGTGTGTACCATGTGTGTATAGTGTGTATATGTGTGTGTGCCGTGTGTGTGTATAGTATGTATAGTGTGTATAGTGTATATGTGTGTGTGTATAGTGTATGTATGTGTGTGTACCGTGTGTGTGTATAGTGTGTGTGTATAGTGTGTGTGTACCATGTGTGTGTATAGTGTGTATATGTGTGTGTGTGTGTGTGTATAGTATGTATAGTGTGTATAGTGTGTGTGTGTGTACCATGTGTGTATAGTGTGTATATGTGTGTGTGTGTGTGTGTGTGTATAGTGTATGTATGTGTATGTATGTGTGTGTGTATATGTGTGTATAGTGTGTGTGTACCATGTGTGTGTATAGTGTGTGTATGTGTGTGTACCATGTGTGTGTATATGTGTGTGTGTGTGTGTGTGTATAGTATGTGTATAGTGTGTATAGTGTGTGTGTGTACCATGTGTGTATAGTGTGTATATGTGTGTGTACCATGTGTGTGTATAGTGTGTATATGTGTGTGTGTGTGTGTGTGTATAGTATGTATAGTGTGTATAGTGTGTGTGTGTGTGTACCATGTGTGTATAGTGTGTATATGTGTGTGTGTGTGTATAGTGTATGTATGTGTATGTATGTGTGTGTGTATATGTGTGTATAGTGTGTGTGTACCATGTGTGTGTATAGTGTGTGTATGTGTGTGTGTACCGTGTGTGAGGGGGGCGAGGTCGAGCAGGCGGTCGAGGAACAGGACGATCTGGAAGGTGCTCCAGGAGGAGAGGTCGAAGGGGGCGAGGCTGTGGGGGTCGGGGGGTCGGGCCGGGTCGCTCCACAGACGCAGCAGGTCGTACACGGGCTGAGTGAGAGCGCCCCCTACAGACAGGTCCGGCTCAAAGAGAGGAGCGCCGCACGCCGTCAGCCACCGCTCGAACTCCAGACCTGATGACCACGGCAGGGGGCAGAGGGGCAGAGGGGCAGAGGGGCAGAGGGGCAGAGGGAGGGTCAGAGGGGCAGAGGGGCAGAGGGTCAGAGGGGCAGAGGGACAGAGGGGCAGAGGGTCAGAGGGACAGAGGGACAGAGGGGGGCAGAGGGACAATCAAACAAAACAAAACTAAACTAAACTAAATTAAACTAAACTAAATTAAATTAAATAATAAAAAAAATAAAAATAAATAATAATGTGTAATAGTACTGACCTGTCCTGGAGGGGGCGCTCTGCAGCTCGGGGAAATGCTGCAGGAAACAGACGATCAGGTCCTGAGCCACGACGCTCTTAAACTTAAACTCACAAATGTACTCCTGAGGACACAGAACAAAAAACAAACTCACAAATGTACTTCTGAGGACACAGAACAAAAAACAAACTCACAAATGTACTTCTGAGGACACAGAACAAAAAACAAACTCACAAATGTACTTCTGAGGACACAGAACAAAAAACAAACTCACAAATGTACTTCTGAACAGAGAGAGGACACACAGAGGACACAGAGGACACAGAGGACACACAGAGGACACAGAGGACACAGAGGACACAGAGGACACAGAGGACACAGAGGACACAGAGGACACAGAGGACACAGAGGACAGAGGACACAGAGGACACACAGAGGACACACAGAGGACACAGAGGACACAGAGGACACAGAGGACACAGAGGACACAGAGGACACAGAGGACACACAGAGGACACACAGACACAGAGGACACAGAGGACACAGAGGACACACAGAGGACACAGAGGACACAGAGGACACACAGAGGACGTACTGAGGAAGGCGTCGAAGCGTTCTCTGTCTCCGCTCAGCTCACACAGATACGACACAAAACAGAATCCTTTCTCGTACGTGAACAGATTCATCAGGGAGCTCGGGTTCACCCCTGAAACACACATAGAGACATAAAGAGACTCAGCGAGCTCTAAAGAGACTCACAGGGCTCTAAAGAGACTCACAGGGCTCTAAAGAGACTCACAGGGCTCTAAAGAGACTCAGCGAGCTCTAAAGAGACTCACAGGGCTCTAAAGAGACTCACAGGGCTCTAAGGAGACTCACAGGGCTCTAAAGAGACTCACAGGGCTCTAAAGAGACTCACAGGGCTCTAAAGAGACTCACAGGGCTCTAAAGAGACTCACAGGGCTCTAAAGAGACTCACAGGGCTCTAAAGAGACTCAGCGAGCTCTAAAGAGACTCACAGGGCTCTAAGGAGACTCACAGGGCTCTAAAGAGACTCACAGGGCTCTAAAGAGACTCAGCGAGCTCTAAAGAGACTCACAGGCTCTAAAGAGACTCACAGGGCTCTAAGGAGACTCACAGCTCTACTCACAGGCTCTAAAGAGACTCAGCGAGCTCTAAAGAGACTCACAGGGCTCTAAGGAGACTCGCCGGGCTCTAAAGAGACTCGCCGGGCTCTAAAGAGACTCACCAGGGCTCTAAGAGACTCACCGGGCTCCAGGGGGACGTGCAGTTTGCTCACGGGGCTGTTGTCTCCGAGCAGACGCAGTTGTCTGTGCAGAGCGTCCAAACGAACCACCGTCTCCAGACACGTGAACGCCTCACCTGAAAACACACAAGACCAGGACTGAACCAGGACTGAACCAGGACTGAACCAGGACTGAACCAGGACTGAACCAGGACTGAACCAGGACTGAACCAGGACTGAACCAGGACTAACCAGGACTTGAACCAGGACTGAACCAGGACTGAACCAGGACTGAACCAGGACTGAACCAGGACTGAACCAGGACTGACTGAACCAGGACTGAACCAGGACTGAAACCAGGACTGAACCAGGACTGAACCAGGACTGAACCAGGACTAGACCAGGACCAGGACTGAACCAGGACTGAACCAGGACTGACCAGGACTAGACCAGGACTGAACCAGGACTGAAGGACTGAACCAGGACTGAAACCAGGACTGAACCAGGACTGAACCAGGACTGACCAGGACTGAACCATGACTGAACCATGACTGAACCAGGACTGAACCAGGACTGAACCAGGACTGAACCAGGACTAACCAGGACTAGACCCAGGACTGAACCAGGACTGAACCAGGACTGAACCAGGACTGAAACCAGGACTGAAACCAGGACTGGACTGAACCAGGACGACCAGGAACCAGGACTGAACCAGGATGAACCAGGACTGACCAGGACTGAACCAGGACTGAACCAGGACTGAACCAGGACTGAACCAGGACTAAACCAGGACTGAACCAGGACTGAACCAGGACCTGAAACCAGGACTAGACCAGGACTAACCAGGACTGAACCCAGGACAGGACTAAAACCAGGACTGGAAAACCAGGACTGGACTAACCAGGACTGAACCAGGACTAAACCAGGACTGGAAACCAGGACTAAACCCGGACTGAAACCCCACTGAACCCGGACTAAACCAGGACTGGACTAAACCCGGACTAAACCCGGACTGGACCAGGACCCGGCGTGGTACCGTAGGCCTCGGTGGTGATGCGTCTCTGGGCGTACGTGGCGAGTCCTTCGCTCAGCCACATCTCCTCCCACGTGGCGTTGGTGACGGCGTTCCCGAACCAGCCGTGGGCGATCTCGTGGATCACGTCGATGAGGAGGAACTCGGAGCTCTCCAGGATGGACGAGATGATGAAGGTCAGACACGGGTTCTCCATGGCGACGATCGGAAAGGAGGGAGGGAGGAAGACCACGTCACATCTGCGAGAGGGAGAGCGACAGGAAGAGGAGGAGAGGAAAGAAAGAGAAGAGACAGAGAGACGAAGAGACAGAGAGACAGAGAGACGAAGAGACGAAGAGACAGAGACGAAGAGAGACGAGAGAGACGAAGAGAGACGAAGAGAGAGACAGAGAGACGAGAGACGAAGAGACGAAGAGACGAGAGACAGAGAGACAGAGAGACGAAGAGACAGAGAGAGAGACGAAGAGACGAAGAGACAGAGAGACAGAGAGACAAAGAGACAGAGAGAGAAGAGACAGAGAGACGAAGAGACAGAGAGACGAAGAGACAGAGAGACGAAGAGACGAAGAGACAGAGAGAGAGAGACAGAGAGACGAAGAGACAGAAGAGACGAAGAGACAGAGAGAGAGACGAAGAGACGAGAGAGACGAGAGACAGAGAGACAGAGAGACAAAGAGAGAGAGAGAGAGACGAGAGACGAAGAGACAGGTAGAGACGAAGAGACAGAGAGAGAGACAGAGAGACAGAGAGACGAAGAGACAGAGAGACGAAGAGACATAGAGACAGAGAGATGAAGAGACAGAGAGACGAAGAGACAGAGAGACAAAGAGACAGAGATGAAGAGACGAAGAGACATAGAGACGAAGAGACAGAGAGACGAAGAGACGAAGAGAGAGAGAGACGAAGAGACAAAGAGACAGAGAGACAGAGAGACGAAGAGACGAAGAGACAGAGAGAGAGAGAGACGAAGAGACAGAGAGACGAAGAGACAGAGAGACAAAGAGACGAAGAGAGAGAGAGACGAAGAGACAGAGAGACGAAGAGACGTAGAGACGAAGAGACAGAGAGACGAAGAGACGAGAGAGAGAGAGACGAAGAGACAAAGAGACAGAGAGACGAAGACAGAGAGACAAAGAGACAGAGAGATGAAGAGACAGAGAGACGAAGAGACAGAGAGACGAAGAGACAGAGAGAGAGACAGAGAGACGAAGAGACAGAGAGACAGAGAGAGACAGAGAGAGACGAGAGAGACAGAGAGACAGAGAGACGAAGAGACGAAGAGACAGAGAGACGAAGAGACAGAGAGACGAAGAGACAGAGAGAGAGACAGAGAGACGAAGAGACAGAGAGACGAAGAGACGAAGAGACAGAGAGACGAAGACAGAGAGACGAAGAGACAAAGAGACAGAGAGACGAAGAGACAGAGAGACGAAGAGACAAGAGAGACAGAGAGACAGAGAGACAGAAGAGACAGAGAGAGAGAGACAGAGAGAGACGAGAGAGACACAGAGAGACGAAGAGACAGAGAGACAGAGAGAGAGAGAAGAGACGAGAGACAGAAGAGACAAGAGACGAAGAGAGAGAGAGACAGAGAGAGACAGAGAGACGAAGAGACAGAGAGACGAAGAGACAGAGAGAGAGAGAGACGAGAGACAGAGAGACGAGAGAGACAGAGAGACAAAGAGACGAAAGAGAAGAGAGAGACGAGAGACGAAGAGAGACGAAGAGACGAAGAGACGAAGAGACAGAGAGACGAAGAGACGAGAGAGACGAAGAGACAGAGAGACGAAGAGACAGAGAGACGAAGAGACAGAGAGACGAAGAGACAGAAGAGACAGAGAGACGAAGAGACAGAAGAGACGAGAGAGACGAGAGACAGAGAGACGAAGAGACAGAGAGAGAGACAGAGAGACGAGAGACGAACAGAGAGAAGAGACAAAGAGACAGAGAGACAGAGAGACGAAGACAGAAGAGACGAAGAGACAGAGAGATGAGAGACAGAGAGACAAAGAGACGAGAGACGAGACAGAGAGAGAGAAGAGACAAGAGAGACGAAGAGACAGAGAGACGAAGAGACAGAGAGACGAGAGACGAAGAGACAGAGAGAGACAGAGAGAGACGAAGAGAGACGAAGAGAGACAGAGAGACAGAGAGAGACAGAGAGACGAAGAGACGTAGAGACGAAGAGACAGAGAGACGAAGAGACAGAGAGACGAAGAGACGAAGAGACAGAGAGAGAGAGAGACGAAGAGACAGAGAGACGAAGAGACAGAGATGAAGAGACGAAGAGACAGAGAGACAGAAGAGACGAAGACAGAGAGACGAAGAGACAGAGAGATGAAGAGAGACAGAGAGACAAAGAGACGAAGAGACAGAGAGACGAAGAGACAGAGAGACAGAGACGAGAGACAGAGAGAGACGAAGAGACAGAGAGACGAGAGAGACGAGAGAGACAGAGAGACAGAGAGACGAGAGACAGAGAGACGAAAGAGACAGAGAGAGACAGAGAGAGACGAGAGACAGAGAGACGAAGAGACGAAGAGACAGAGAGACGAAGAGACAGAGAGACGAAGAGACAGAGAGACAGAGAGATGAAGAGACAGAGAGACAGAGAGACGAAGAGACATAGAGACGAAGAGACAGAGAGACGAAGAGACAGAGAGACAGAGAGACAAAGAGACAAAGAGACGAAGAGACGAAGAGAGATGAGTCAAATGTGTCCAGTGCACCAGGACTGAACCAGGTCTAAACCAGGACTAAACCAGGACTGAACCAGGTCTAAACCAGGTCTAAACCAGGACTGAACCAGGCCTAAACCAGGACCAAACCAGGCCTAAACCAGGCCTAAACCAGGACTAAACTAGGTCTAAACCAGGTCTAAACCAGGACTGAACCAGGACCAAACCGGGACCAAACCAGGACTAAAACCAGGTGTGGAGCGTTTGGACCAGAGCGGCGAGGTTCAGTCTGGCAAAGACACTTTAGGAGCCACAAGGATTTAAACATTTAAAAAGTTTCTCTTGTGAAAATAGAAAAGAATCGTACAGAACTTTCCCTTTGTGAAGCCGGACGCCCTGAAGAACACGAGCGGGGGAATTCCCAGAATGCATTTCCTCTGTGGGAGAATCTGTGTAGACCAGGGGTGGGCAAACTACGGCCCTTTAAACCTTTTAATCCGGCCTGCTGAATTTCAATAAATTGTAGTAATAAACCTTGTTAATGTTTTATTTTTCCTGTATTTCCGGTGTTTCCCAGTAGATGGCGCTCTACATGTACACTGAGGTGTGTTCTGTTGCCTCAGTGTTTTATGGGAGAGTGTTCTTTGGGACTATAGTGACAGGAGTGATTCTCTGTTGGTGTTTTGGGACCATGAGCGAGGTAGAAGTGTTCAACACAAAACACTGAACTGTTTCTGTTCAGAAAAGTTTAAAAGTAAAGTTGAAAAACTTGCGGACTGAATATTACAAAGTCTTCACACACAGAGTGCGAGAACACACAATGCATGAAAGTGTTCTACAGGAAAGATTTAGTTGGGTTTAAGCTTGTGCGGGGTGGTGGAAACTGAAGTTTAAGGAGTCGGCTAAAGAAGATACGGAGACGACCAACACTAGATTCTGCCCTGGAAAATATTTCAGAAGTATTTGTGTTTTGGACACATTCACACTCAACTTTACATTGTAGTATCGGGGTTAGTGCGTTTACATGCAGCATGACTGAAAAACCCGACGGTCCCAGAGACTCTGATGTTCATGTAAACACACTCATGATGAACAATGCTCCAGATCAAACAGAAGTCGTTGTTCTCAGACCGACACACTGACTCTGTTCTGTCCTCGTGTCGGTCGCTGTTGAGTTTTGGAGACGAACATTGAACAGAAGTCGATCTGCATCTTCTACTGTTTTTGAAATAAAGAGTCAGGAGGAAAGAGACGATGAGAAGATCCTGAAGGAGAACACAACTTTCACTGCTTTAAAATAGTAACTGTTAGTAATAAAAAAAAGTATTTTATTAATTTAATTTTCAGTGTTTTAGAACAACACATATTTTGTTGTGATTCTTTGTAGTTATTTTCAGTTGAAATTCAAGTTCAGGTTTTCTACATTTCTCATGTTATTTTTTCTCTCCACTCCGTGACCCCATGACCTGTGCCCCCATGACCTGTGCCCCCATGACCTGTGCCCCCATGACCTGTGACCCTGCGCCCTCACCTGCCCCACAGGTACGGCCCGAACAGACGCTCGGCCACACTGAGCCACCGCTCCACACTGCCCCCGAGCTTCTGCACCGCACACGACAACAGACACGGCTCCGCCCACACTCTGCTCCTGACCAATCAGAGAAGAGGACAGGGTTAGACACGCCCACTGCAGAGACACATGCCCCCTCCCCCCATGTGTGTGTCAGGTCCCTCTCGTGTGTGTCAGGTGCCCTGTCGTGTGTGTCAGGTCCCTCCCGTGTGTGTCAGGTCCCTCCGTGTGTGTCAGGTCCCTCTTGTGTGTGTCAGGTCCCTCCGTGTGTGTCAGGTCCCTCTTGTGTGTGTCAGGTCCCTCCGTGTGTGTCAGGTCCCTCCGTGTGTGTCAGGTCCCTCTTGTGTGTGTCAGGTCCACTCCCCGCGTGTGTCAGGTGCCTCTCGTGTGTGTCAGGTCCACTCCCCGTGTGTGTCAGGTCCCTCCCGTGTGTGTCAGGTCCCTCCGTGTGTGTCAGGTCTCACCGGGGCCCCAGGTCGTGGTGTTGAAGTTCTCCGCAGACCAGAGCCACGAGGTACGACGGCACCGGCTCGTCCATCCAGAACTGGAACACTCGCTCCTCTCGACAGAACGAACTCCGAGACGCGCTCATGAGAACCGTGAACCCGTCCGGAACCTGCAGCACAAACACCACACACACACCTGGGTCAGTCCTGGTCAGTCCTGGTCTGGTCCTGGTCTGGTCCTGGTCTTCTCTGAGTGTTTCAGGTGAGAGGACTTTACACCAGAACCTTCATCTGATCCCAAACAAAGAACGAGAAGGAGAAACATCTGAGGAGCAGATGTTTGGAGATTTATTTAAGAACAAAATCTCCCACTGGAGTCCTCCAGAGTCCTTCAGAGTTCTCTAGAAAGCTCCAGAGTTCTCTAGGGTTCTCCAGAGTTCTCTACAGTTCCCCTGAGTTTTCCAGGATTTTCTAGAGTTCTCCAAGGAGCTCCAGAGTTCCCCAGAGTTCCCCAGGGTTCTCCAGAGTCCTTCAGAGTTCTCAGAGTGCTCCCCTCCCCGCCCCGCCGTGTTCCCTCTCGTACCCTGATGGTGGCGCTGTAGGGGCTCTTCACGGCCGGTGTGTCGAAGCAGGGGAAGAAGGAGCGATTACACACGCAGTGACCCTGAGTGAACACCAGGGGGCGAGTCTGTCCACAGGTGAGCTCCGGGTCCAACCACCACACCTGGAACCAAACCAGGACTGTAACTGGACTAAACCAGACCAGGACTAAACCACCTGGAACCAGACCAGGACTGTACCTGGACTATCACAGGACTAAACCAGACCAGGACTAAAGGAACAATAATAATAAGATTTTGAACTCTCAGATTTTAAAATTGGGCAAATCCCAGGACCAATCCAGACTAGGACTATAACAGGACTAAACCTGGCCTAAACTAGGACTAAATCAGGACTAAATCAGGACTAAACCAGGTCTAACCCAGGTCTAAGTACACGCTGACAGAGTGTGAGACTCACGGCCGGTCCGTCCGTGGTGCTGTACCGGATCGTGACCTGGACTTCTCTCCCGGCTCTGAGCTCGGGCAGAACCACCTTCAGCGCCGACCCAAACTCCGAAAAACCCTCCGACGTGAAGACCAGGGACTGAGGCGGGTCCTGGGCTCGCTCCGGGTCCTTCAGGTCCACGGACCGGACCAGGACCGACGGGTGAGAGTCCAGAACCAGAGTCTGGACCCCGGAGCGCAGAGGAGACAAGTCCAGAACCAACCAGCCGCTCATCTCCTTCACCGCAAAGTTTATCTGCACACAGACAAGAAGAGGCACCTGACACACACACGAGAGGCACCTGACACACACACGAGAGGGACCTGACACACACACGAGAGGGACCTGACACACACACGAGTGACACACACACGAGAGGACCTGACACACACACGAGAGGGACCTGACACACACACGAGAGGGACCTGACACACACGAGAGGGACCTGACACACACACGAGAGGCACCTGACACACACACGAGAGGGACCTGACACACACACGAGAGGCACCTGACACACACGAGAGGGACCTGACACACACACGAGAGGGACCTGACACACACACGAGAGGGACTGACACACACACGAGAGGGACCTGACACACACACGAGAGGCACCTGACACACACACGAGACCTGACACACACACGAGAGGGACCTGACACACACACGAGAGGGACCTGACACACACACGAGAGGGACCTGACACACACACGAGAGGACCTGACACACACACGAGAGGCACCTGACACACACACGAGAGGACCTGACACACACACGAGAGGGACCTGACACACACACGAGAGGGACCTGACACACACACGAGAGGGACCTGACACACACACGAGAGGCACCTGACACACACACGAGAGGAGGGACCTGACACACACACGAGAGGGACCTGACACACACACGAGAGGCACCTGACACACACACACACACACACGAGAGGGACCTGACACACACACGAGAGGGACCTGACACACACGAGAGGGACCTGACACACACACGAGAGGGAACCTGACACACACGAGAGGACCTGACACACACGAGAGGCACCTGACACACACGAGAGGCACCTGACACACACGAGAGGGACCTGACACACACGAGAGGGACCTGACACACACGAGAGGCACCTGACACACACGAGAGGGACCTGACACACACGAGAGGCACCTGACACACACGAGAGGGACCTGACACACACGAGAGGGACCTGACACACACGAGAGGCACCTGACACACACGAGAGGAACCTGACACACACGAGAGGGACCTGACACACACACGAGAGGGACCTGACACACACGAGAGGGACCTGACACACACGAGAGGGACCGGATACACGAGAAGCAACTGACACACACACACGGGGGGGAGGGAGGACACCTGACACACAGATGAAGGGCACCTGACACACACGGGGGGGGAGGGAGGACACCTGACACACACATGGGGGAGGGGGAGGGCACCTGACACACAGGGGGAGGGCACCTGACACACAGGGGGGGAGGGCACCTGACACACAGGGGGAGGGCACCTGACACACAGGGGGAGGCACCTGACACACAGGGGGGAGGCACCTGACACACAGGGGGAGGGCACCTGACACACAGGGGGAGGGCACCTGACACACAGGGGGGAGGGCACCTGACACACAGGGGAGGGCACCTGACACACAGGGGGAGGGCACCTGACACACAGGGGGGGAGGGCACCTGACACACAGGGGAGGGCACCTGACACACAGGGGGGAGGGCACCTGACACACAGGGGGAGGGCACCTGACCACACACGGGGGGAGGGCACCTGACACACAGGGGGAGGGCACCTGACACACAGGGGGGAGGGCACCTGACACACAGGGGGAGGGCACCTGACACACAGGGGGGAGGGCACCTGTCGTACCTGCAGGTCCAGGTGCAGGTGACGCAGGTGGAAGTGGGCGTGGTTTGAGGCGGAGGCGACGTCCACCAGGGGGCAGCGCTCTGAAGGGGGAGCAGTACAGCGCCCCCCCGAGGCCGACAGGGAGCGACAGCAACAGAGCGAGCGAGAGTGAGGAGACGACGACATGATCCAGGCTGAACCGGGTCTCAACCGGGTCTAAACAGAGACTAGACTGGGTATGAACGAGGTTTGAGGCGGATCTGAACCTGGGACTGAACTGACTCTGACTGAGGACTAAACCAAGACTAAACCAAGACTAAACCAAGACTAAACCAGGGACTGACCCAGGACTGAACCGGGTCTGAACCAGGGTTTAAATCACCATCTAAACAGAGACTAGACCAGGTCTCAACCGGGTCTCAATGAGGTTTGAAGTGGATCTGAATCAGGGAACTGAGTCTGTCTGAGGAATAAACCAGGACTGAACCGGGACAAAACAAAGACTAGATCGGTTCTAAACCAGGCCTGAACTGGGTCTGAACCAGGGACAAGACGGAGTTTAAACCAGGACTAAACCAGAACCAAACCACCACAAACATAAGGCAGAACGCAGTATATCAGGAGTAAATAAAAGTAAAAATAAAAGATCTGTTACAGAGAGGTGCGGTTTGAACTAAAAAGTGCACTTTAAATTCTTTATCAAGTCATAAAAAATAAAAAAGTTTATAAAATGATTCCAGAGTTCAGAGCTGTGACGACACTCGACACACACACAGGACACACACACACAGGACACACACACACAGGACACACACACACAGGACACACACACACGACACACTCTGGGCCTTTGGCATTAAACCTGCTCTGTTTAAATGATCAGAATCTCTTTTATATTCACCTGCTGAGCACCAAATCCACTGCCCAGACTCTATTCTTTTATAGTATTTATCTGTAAATTGTATAAAAAATATTTGTCAAACTGCTTTTTATGAATAAATAATTTGACTCTTAATTCAAATGTATAAAATGACATTTACATTTCAAGTAGTTTCAAGGACACTTTAGGCAAAAACATCAGGTTTTCCAAAGAAAAGGTTTGATTTTAGTCGTGATAAAGTGCACTTTGTAGTCTACAACCCCTGAGTTATGAAAAAATATTAAGTTAAAACAAATAAAAGGCACTAAAAACAGAAGTTTATCCGCGCCTCGGCCCGTAAACATGAAACTAAGGAGTGTTGTGTTAAACTTTATCCGCCGCTAGCTACATTAGCATTAGCTTCATCTGAGGTCACAAAGTGGCTCAATTAGTGTTTCTTTAAAGTCCAAATAATTCGCTTCTTTCACCAAATAAACACGAATAAAAGAGCGAAGCCAAAAGGCGCAGGAAACTCCAAATAAACTGTCAAAACTGAGTGAAAATGTGACATCCATCAGGGCGGACGGACACCGGCTGCTGCTGCGAGGTCAAGCCGGGGAAGGCGCTCTGTTGCTCGTATACAAGTCTCGCGGTGCCCCTGGAGATCCAGAGCGCAAACGCGACGAGCTCGGCCGAGGAAGGTGGACCGTGGCCCGGCTACGAGGCTCACGGGGCGCCGCTGTCTCACACCAGCTCCAAGAGTCTGTGAAGACACCGGGCTGTCACTCCGAGCTCCGCCGGGGAAGATGCGCCGTCTCCCGGATACACGGTCCAAAGTTTACCGCAGTGTCTCCGCAGCTCCGGCGGGGGGAAAAAACAAGGCCAGTGCGGCTTCGAGTCCACCCGAGAACCGAGCCTCCTCCGCGGGGAGCAGGGGCCGGAGTCTGCCGCAGTGTCCCGAGGTCCCGGTGGATTTGTCCGGGCTCGCGGTCTGGCTCTGGGCTGAAGCCGGGGAAGAGTCTCTGTCGCCCGGATACGGAGCGCGGAGCCTCCCGCTGTGGCTCCGGAGGACAGAGGGACACGGCCCGGGGACAGACGCCGGGGACACGGAGAGGGTGAGCGTGCAGGGACACGGGGACAGAGCCGGAGGACGGACCCCGAGGACAAAGCCGGGGACAGAGACACAAACAGGAAGTAAAGGGCTCGCGGACAAAGTTTAGCGGCCGGAGGGGGGCGCTATGGAGACATCTTTTATTTTCCTCGCATTATTTATTTATTTTAATTTTATTTTTATTATAATCATCATTTTATCCTCTCACCAAATCAGTTTTAATACATAATCTATCTATTTTTTTGTATTTATTGCCTTATTTTTGCACTAATTTTATTTTATTTATTTATTTTCACACATAAAATGACAAAAATAATTCTACTGCACACTCACTTGTCTTTAAATCACAATATTGACTTGATTTTATTTCGAGTTTCTGCCAAGAGAGAAACAATAATCATAAACATACTAAATACACATTATAAACAACAGAAAAGCACATTTCTCGAAAAGGAGAAGAAGGAAATATATATATATATATATATATATATATAAAATATATATATATATATGTGTTTCTCACCTTCACGGTGGTTGGTCTCTCACCCTCATTCAGCTCAGGTCGTCTACCAGAGGCCTGGGAGCTTGACAGTTCTGCGCAGTATCTTTGCTGTTCCCAGTGCTGCACTTTTCTGGACTGAGATGTTCATTGTTTTTCCCCGGTATCTGTTGTAGCCTCTTCCAGTTTGGGGTTACAGCCCCGAGTGTCCGATCACCACAGGCACCACTGATGCCTTTACTTTCCAGGCTCTCTCCAGCTCTTCCTTGAGCCCCTGGTATTTCTCTAGCTTCTCGTGTTCCTTTTTCCTGATATTACCATCACTTGGTATTGCGATGTCAACACCCATATATATATATATATATATATATATATATATTATCCCAAACCTGTTCATGACAGAGTTTCAAAAAAAAAAAAAAAAAAAATCTATCTGTTTGCTTCTGTACATTGATGATGAAACAGATATTTACATATAGCAAAATAAATAACATACTATGCAAACTAAATATAATTTTAACACAGTTTCTTAATTATTTATTTTATTTAGTTATTTATTTATTTATTTATTGGAAGGGTCAGAGGATAAAGACTCATCATGATGTAATTTAAAGACTGGTTTCAGATGACATCACCGTGTTTAAATACAGTTTAAATACAGTTTAAATACAGTGTAAATGTGGGTTTTTGTTGTAACAGCAGGTGAATGAGTTTAGTCACCCACAGAAAATATTCCATTAAATATTTGTGAATAAACTTTTTGGATATTTCATGATGAAGTACAATGTTATTAACAGGAAACTTTGTCTCTTGCCCCCATCTGGGAGTTTGACATCGTCACAATCTAGAAGCCGAAAACCAACCAAGTGTTTATAGAATATTGTACTAAATAAATAAATAAATATTATTATTATTATTATTAAGTTGATATTATTATTCTTATAATAATTAATATTGTATTATTATTATTATTATTATTATTATTATTAATAATAATAATAAAAACACTTGTTGTCGTTTTGTGTGTTTTAAATCAGGTTTATTTTTTTCAAAGGGCTTTTATTGTGAAGGGCGTGTCCGCGGCGGAAGTGCTGTGCGTGCGTGATGCGTCTGGACGTGTTGACGTGAGCAGCATCTTCCTCAGCATCAGGACCAGGACCAGGACCAGGACCGGGCGTGGACCAGGACCGGGACCATGGAGGAGACGCGCGTGATTTACCACCTCGAGGACCAGCACACGCCGTACCTCGTGCGCATCGGCGTGCCCGCGCAGCGCGTGACCCTGCTGGACGTGAAGAACGCGCTGAACAAACCACACGCGCGCTTCTTCTTCAGGTCCGAGGACCGAGACTTTGGGTGAGTCCGAGTCTAGTCCGGGTCTAGTCCGGGTCACGCCCAGTCCTGGGTTAGTACTGGGTTAGTCCTCAGTTAGTCCTCAGCTAGTCCTGGTCCAGTCCTGGTCCAGACCTGGTCCAGGATTAAAGACCACAGCCCACGTGACTCAGGGGAATATTTAATAACCGCGCTCCCTTTGATCTTCCGCCGGTTCAGCCCCAAGACCTGGACTAGATCCAGACCAGGTCCAGACCAGGTCCAGACCAGGTCCAGACCTGGTAGGTCCGGACCTGGTCTGGACCTGGTTTAGTCCTGGTTTAGATCTGGTTCTTGGCTGTTTCTGTTGTAAATATAAATGTGTTAAAATAATAAATCAGATTTGATTTCAAATTGAAAAATAAAACATAAATTCCACAGATAAAAACAATAAAAACAAATGATCGATTAAATTAAAACATGAATAATGTGAATCACACAAGAGCTGAGTCACTACACACACACTATTCACACACACACACACACACACATACACACACACACACATACACACTACACACACACACACACACACACACACACATACACACACTATACACACACACACACACACACACTACACACACACACACATACACACACACACACACACTATACACACACATATACACACACACACACACACACACATACACTACACACACACACACACACACATACACACTATACACACACACACTATACACACACACACACACACACACACTACACACACACACACACACACACACTATACACACACACACACACATACACACACACACACACTATACACACACACACACACATACACACTATACACACACACACACACACACACACACACTATACACACACACACACACACACACACACACTATACACACACACACACACACACACACACTATACACACACACACATACACACACACACACTATACACACACACACACACACACACACTATACACACACACACACACACACACACACACACACACACACACACACACACATTCATGTGTTTAATTCTGTGTGTGTGTGTGTTGTGTGTGTGTGTGTGTGTGTGTGTGTGTGTGTTTTGTCAGTGTGGTGAAGGAGGAGATCAGTGATGATGGAGCTGTTCTTCCCTGCGCCAACGGAAGGATCGTCTGCTGGGTCTGTCACACACACATGTTTACTCCTCTTCTCCTCTTCTCCTCATCCACTCATCCTCCACCTCTTCTTCTCTCTCTCTCTTCTGTCCTTCTTCTTATTTAGACAAACTTCATTGATCCACATTTCTGTTCTCCCTGATGTCCTGTTATGTCCTCATGTCTCCTCTCTCTCTCTCTCCTCTGTCTCCTCTTTCCTCTCGTCCCTCTCTTCTTTTTCTTCTTCTTCTTCTTCTTCTTCTTCTCCTCTCAGCTGGTGTCTGCAGACTCTCAGTTGGACTTCAGAGGTTCTGACGTCATGTCCGTGGCCACGCCCACCAGCAGCACGGCCCCGCCCTTCCGCCTGACCCCGCCCCCTTCGGACAGAGCCCCGCCTCCCCCGGACAAAGCCCCGCCCCCCGAGAGGACCAGAGGCATCGGAGACTCTCGTCCTCCGTCGTTCCAGTGAGTCACAACACCACACGAGCTCAGATAAAGCTGCACTGCGGAACTTTTCTGTCTCTTACCTGCTCGTTTCTATGGAGACTGGGGTTGGGCAATATCCACATTTTGAAACCGTGAAACCGTCTCAGGATTTTACCGGAGTTTACAGTATTATTGTATTACTAAAATGTTTTAGTACGACTTTGGTGCGTGTGAACCACTGTGACCTGCAGACTGTTACACACACGTGTGTGTGAACCACTGTGACCTGCAGACTGTTACACACACGTGTGTGTGAACCACTGTGACCTGTAGACTGTTACACACACGTGTGTGTGAACCACTGTGACCTGCAGACTGTTACACACACGTGTGTGTGTGTGTGTACACACACGTGTGTGTGAACCACTGTGACCTGTCGACTGTGACACACACGTGTGTCCACTGTGACCTGAGACTGCGTTTAGTGACGCTGTTACGTATGAAACTCGACCGACTGAGGCGTTTGTGTGTGTGTGACCTCGTATGAACCACTCGACCGAGGCGTTTAGTCACTTGTAAGATCTTATTTTCTCAAATCTCCGTGCGAAGGACGAGCCGCTCCAGACGAGCCGCTCCAGACGAGCGTCCACATTCTAAAAGTGACACATCCAAAAGTTTCAGTTTTTACGCTCACGTAGGGTGAAATCCACACATGCAGTGGAGCCAGGAACATAATCTCTGAAAAGTTAAAACACAAACCGTCTCCAACGTGACACGAACAGAACAGACTCACCGTCAGCAGCACATCCTCTGTCACAGAAAAAACAAATATTCCACAGAGTCGTGTCCTTTAGTCCGACAAAAGTTGAACCACATCAGCAGCACAAGGAGCAGCTGTTTTTATCAGCACTAACAGTTCATGTAAATGACTCATGTGGGTTTAAGTTTTGTTTCTGTAAAACATAAACAAATGTGTCCTGAAGTCAAAATGCTCCAAATTGCAGAAGTACGAGTATTTTTGGGGGGACCAACTCTCTCACAGTCAGACTTGTGTCTTGTGTTGGTTTTATGAACGTCACGTGACAAAAGGAACAAAACTAATCCAACGTCGTCTCCCCAAGAAACTTTATAAATACTATTAGATTTAAATTGTGATGCAGTAAATTGAAAATACAAACACACTGAGCAAACACATTTAGATATCAGTCAATTATAATTTTATCTCAGGTCTTTATGCTGCAGATTTTCTTTTTTAATGACAGTGATGAAACTGATACTGTTGTTATTTTGTGATTCCGCAGTAAACTGTAATACTGTAATACTGCCCAACCCTAATGGACACGTCACTGCTCTGCCGAGAATGTTCCACAGTGTGACATTAAACAGCTCCACTTTACATTTAGTCAAAACATGCATCACAAATTTCAGACTCCCGGTCATCGCCTCATGTAAACTGGGAAAGATCCACGTTTCATATTTTAGTTTTGGGATTCGAACATCGTCATTGTTGTGGTTGTTGGATCCTAACAGCGGAAAACGACTCGAGAAATGTGTTTGTGAACTTCATAAATGCAAAAGAGAATCAGATGTGTGTGACTCAAACCTCCGTTCAAACTGTTTCTCTTCCCAACGGAATTGAAAAATAGTGAAAGGTGAAGGTGATGGGCAGGATTGATCCACAGGAAGAACCAAAAAGGAAACATTTGTCTGACTAAGAAATCATCCCGAGTTTACAGAGAACATTTTGTATGTGGAGCCACGACAAAACTAAATCCTGTTTGTTAATGTAGAAGAGCAGAAGACAAACAGACTGAGCTGCACTTTCTTGTTCTTGTGGTTTTACACAAACATCACGTCTTGGTCTTTGCAGTGGAAGGTGTTTCTTGGTGAACAGTTGGAGACTTTCACTTTGGTGTTGACTTTTTAATAATAAACAAGGTTGAACGAGGGATCAAGATTTTGTTTTGTCGTCGCTCCACGTACAAAATGTTCTCTGTAAACTCAGGATGATTTAGTCAGACAAATGTTTCCTTTTTGGTTCTTCCTGTGGATCAATCCTGCCCATCACCTTCACCTTTCACTATTTTTCAATTCTGTTGGGAAGAGAAACAGTTTGAACAGAGGTTTGAGTCACACACATCTGATTCACTTTTGCATTTATG